GGGAAGAGAAGCGTGGCTTAAAATAGCTCTGGCTCCACAGCTCATTAGAAAGACAATAAATGCATAGTCAGTATTTGCTCTTGTGGAAGTTCATGAATGTCTAAGAGGCTGAGGATTATAATTCAGTGCGCACATGCACCTTCTTATCATGCTAGAAGCATTGGGGGAAAAAACATGGCATATTGTGAAATGTAAATTGTAGAAAGATACAGACATTTTTGTATGCCGCAAAGAAGATATAACCTAGAAGTGCCATCTTTCATTAATGACATTTAAGAATCCCAATTTATATTGGGAGATATTAAAAAGTGGTGTTTTCTCAACATACTAATGCCCTTAATACAGTTACAAGAAGAATCAGTCACTGAAGCAGTAACTGTTTGAAATGTACTTCACATGATCCCTGGGGTAAACAGAATAAACCTCGGCGGTGTGCAAGGCTGTGTCAATAAGCCAAGACCACATCTAGCAGCACGCTTAACTAGATGATTCCAACTGAAGCCTCCAACTTAAAAAGAAAATAAAATCATGATTAGATGTATTCTCGAAACTCAGGTCTCAAGGCCAAATACAGATCCTAACATCCACGGTACATAATTGGGTTATGCCTCAACAGAATTTCAGGAAGACTAGCAAGCATGTTTGAGAAACAGAATTGCATTTGCTATTTCTGCTGAAGGCAACTTGTATACAACCCTTTGAAATTCTCCTGACAAAGCCTTTTAGAGCTTTAAAAAAATAGCTATGTTTAAATGATTTATGGAAAAGAAAAGCACATCCAGTCTTTATACGTTGTGAATAAGCTAACTGTTTTATTAATGAAGGCAAATATCAGATAAATACTGGGGGGGGGGAAAATCTTTTTAAAATAAAATCAAAATTGACACCACTGTATTTCAGAAGTGTCTGGTTGCTTTTAGCTAATCTAAAAGACCCTTCATCCATTTTAGGGATTTTTTTTTTTTTGGGTTGGTTGGTTTTTTGAAAACAAAACTTTTTCCTGCCCCTCTTAGTATGGAAAAAAGTCTGTCCATAAAGAATTATGAACTGAACACAGCTGAGCCTGACTCTCACATCAGCTTTACAGCAATGCAACTTCATTAAATCACAATGATTTCAACTGGTATGATAAGGAAATCCAGCGCATCCACACTTAAACAGAGCTTTAGTATTAAGTCTCTCCCATCCAAAAAAAAGTACTCACCAAGTATCAGTAAATGTGTTCAATAAACCATACAAGGAAGGTTAGCAAAAGGGGTTTAGGGCTAAAAAACACCCTTCAAGAGCACCCCCACGTTTTGCAAGGCCATTCACAAACTGGTCTTCCATATAAGTACAAAAGGATTGCTATTGAGGGAAACTGAAATCAGATCTACCCCAGACTGTCTTCGGGATGCTTTTATCAGTTCCGATCCAATTTCAGAAGGGTTGGGTTTGAAGAGTTCAGAGGGAATGAAAAACATTTAGTTCTAGATGTACAAGTAAGGCACAATATAAAGCCACATCATCATCTGTCATGAAGGAAGTAGGAAAGGACGCGAATCATACATGGTACAGTAGAACAAGCAGTCCATCGATTCAAAGTGTGGCACCTACGTTCAGACTGACGAGATCTCAACAAGAGCAGTTATGACAGCATGCTTTTAATATGGAAACAAATTCTAGAGAATCCAGTGTATCAGAAAAAGGAAGAGCTTTTGTCTGTATTAAATCAAAAATGTATAATTGTTTTTGGATATAGGATTAAAAGTGAATATTCACAATGCCTACACTCAAAAACAAACAAAAAAGTCCAGGACTCCATTAAGATCCACATACCATGTATGAACACTGAAAATCTTTAGAAAATGGTCTTCTCTAAAGATCATCCAAAAATGCATGCCACAATTGCCAAAAAACAGAACATGTACATTTGTTGGGTTTTATACCCTTATAAGATTTTTGTTTGTGATAAGTATACACTAAATGTATATATTTTAATGACACTAGAGGAAGCAGATTGTTACTGGCATTAAAGTACAACCATTTCTAGACGGTTTAAATGCCACAGAGTCCCCTGGTTAAAATGTAAAGCTGCACAGCTTGCCTATGTCACCTTTATGATAAAGTTAAACCAGCAAAAGGTCTTATCTTTACTCTACATTTTACTGCCAGGTTTTATTTATATCAAGTATCGCTGCAGCATTCTGACCAGCCCAGAGTTAGCAGCAAGTGGCAGGAATCATATAAAATGCAGTTTCTTTTTTTTTTTTTTAACCAAAGTGCTTTTCTAAGATATACATACATATAAATAGGTACAAAATAAAGTGTCAACATTAAAAAGCTCAACTATTTAAAAGCTTTAACTTAAAATAATACATAGAAAACACTGAAATGCAAGGGTATGGAATTCACTAAAGATTCAAAGTCTACTTTGAAATGCGAGACCAAAATCATATTCTGGTTTTCAGACAAAAATAAAAAGCTATAAAGTTATATTTGCTCAGTATTTCTGAGCAGTAGAAAAGGGGCTTTTCAATACCTTGTCAGTTTAATTTGTCACAGAAGTTTTTACCTGATTGCAAAACTGCTCTCTTAATGTTTAGAAATGCTGCCTTGTCTCCACAGCTTGGATACAGCGTAAGGACCTCTTCTGTCCGAGCAGCGCGCTACCACCGCTCACCAGAAAGGAACAACAGTATTCAAATCTCGGTACAGACATGGCCTTAACTTCACAAGAGACATTCTCTGTCGGGGTTTTATGAGCTGTATGCATCTCTGGAACGACTGCAACGTCGGCAATAATTACAATAGGAACACATCTGACCCACTGTGTAAAGCAGCAGCCAACTCTCACCTCACCCTAACAACACCACCTGAAACAAAGACACCCACATTCCACTCAGATTATGCAAGTCTTAAGTGGATTTACAAAGTTTTGCCTAAATTGCTCTGGCTATTTGTTCAGTCTCTTGAAGGAAAGACTTTCTGTACAGCTCAGTAGTGGTATTTTGGCCTCCTCCTCCCTTTTGAGTCTTCCAAAATATTTAGATACAAAGTAAGCTGTGTGCACACTCGCAAGTACGTGGCAGGACTGCCACCTTCATCAGCCACTCTTGGTTCAGACTTTTTTAATAGTACAAGCTTGGATATAAAAATAATCTACGTATAAACAAAAAGGAATCACAGTACAAACAAAGTTAGACAAACCAGAAGTGGAGAAATTCCCCAAAGGGAGTGGGGAGAAAGCCTTCATGGACTTTTGCATTTTTTTTCAGCAGCTACATTTGAAAATATTTGGTATTTCTATTTTCAGTAAACAGTGTTTTGTCATCTTTAAATAGGGAGAGAAAGAACAGGGAGGAAAAGGGGGGTCCATGAAACCAGAGAATGATCTTGCCTTGAGATAAAGGACTTTCTCATCAAAGGCTAAAGCTTTTAATCTGTACGTTAACACTGACTACAAAGCCAACTCTTATTAGCAGAAGAGCAAATAAGAACTGTGTGTTAATATTCCTCAATCATAGAAACTACTGAATTAACAAGAATAAGTCACATATAAGTTTGAAGAAGCTAGTTTCGAAATACCTGTACAAAAATATAAAAGTCTATAAATTTTTTTTTTTGTTTTGTTTGAAGCCTGTGTTGATCCTTGGAAACATCACATGCATAATAATACATCAACTGGAAAAGTGGCAACTAAGGAATTAGATATTTGTAGCTCTTTTTTCTCTTTACATATATACAAATTACAATAAAAATAATTTTATTTTGGTTGTTTGGTGGAAGTATACTACAACAAACTAAATATTTTTTTTAAATTCTCAAAGTTGAAAACTATTTTACCAATAGCTTACTAAAATCCAAATATATTAAAATCTCCTACAGTAAGTGCAGAGAAAAAAGACTTAAAGACTCCGAGACGGCCACCAACTTATCTACCATGGAAGCGAACTACAAGAACAGCAAAATAATATTGTTATGTATGAATGCTCCTTCTGTAGATAATTGGACCCAAACAAAAAAATTCACAGTTCAGTAAGATCCCTAACCCTGACCTTTAATTTTTTTTTCTTTTTTCATTTGTTTTTACATTCAGTACAGTATCATATAAGCTGTGCAAAACTTTACTTAGACTGGCAGTTCGCCATATCAGTTGCATTTGTCTTTGGTACAAAAATAAACAATCGCATTAATGTGCAAGTATTTGTTTTCTTCCGGCCAAAGTACCGAAATTGAGTTTTCTAGAGCCATCTTTTATACAATACATAGACTCTGTGGCATATATCTACATTTTCAACATATTCCTATATACATTCAAAAATTTTAAGAGCTGGAACAAATACATTAAAACCTATAATCTTACCATCTATACATCTTGTTTTTTCCCCTCAGGGTTTTCTTCATACAAAACTTTACCAGCTTATACTGATAGCTCTCCCCCAAAATACAAGGCACAAAGAATATACTTTTTTTTCTCTTGCTTGCACAGACATTTAAATACTATATTAAGCTCAGAAAATTAAAGTCTTCTATGGCACACTAGCTCTAATGCCATGTGTGCTATGTACAAGTTAATGGTTGCAAAGAAAGCTTACTGGTTTTTTAAGAAAAAAAGAAAACCCAATTATTAAAAAAACCAAACCAAAAGAACTCCTGAAATTGACAGCTTTACCAAAAAAACGCTTCCTCTTATTTTACTTGGAGCATAAACCTGTCACAATGTCTGGCATAAGCTAAAAATTTTTACTAGCAGAAACGTGTTTTTGCTTCTAAAACAAAAGTGATATACTCTGGTCCTATATAACTTAATTTTAAAAAGAATCCTCATCTCTGTATTTAAGCTTAAAGCAGCTTTGAAACTGTCTGGTTTATGCTCCAAAAATGCTATTAAGCATTTTATATCATGCTTTGATTTGTTTTACTACATTGTTATTTGAAACCAATAGAACCTAATTGTAAGTGTTTACATAATGCTAAACTGACATGCAGACCAGAATGCAATATACAATGAAGTACTCGAACACAGGTAGAATCTGACCGATGCGGACAGCTGAAGTCATGTCTTAAACTTTTGACATTGGTATTCGTAGCCCTACAAGGCCACCGGTGGGGTCTCCTTCTGCAGTCTTCTCTAAAACTTGATTCACAAATTCTGATGTCTGTCCAGCTACAGGTAATCCTAAAAAGGGAGGGTAAGAAAATGTGCTGTAAGGTTACTATTCATTGCACGTCTTTGCACATTCCTGTAATACAAAGCTGATGAACACTTTGGTTAGTAACCAGCCAAAAGGCATAGACAACTGAAATTAGGGAGTGCTTCTTTCTTTTCTCTGTTCCAGAAACTGTTTGCAATCAAATGTATCATAAATTATGTGTCTCTTCACATACATGCAAATACATTAACTTTACTGCTTACCGAGAGTGTCTTTAATAAGTACGTTCAACTTCTGTTCCATGTTGACTCCTCTATCATCTTTAGGCACCTGCACCCGATTAACTATTTCTTGTTTAATGGAGTTGATCACAAACAGTAAATTATCTGAAACGAAAAAAACCTGGATTAGATTTACAGCATGTTACCCCTGGAGCAAAAGAGATCCACAGTTGTCCACACACTGTTATCTGTAAGTGTCAAAGGTGTCACATTACACTTACTGTACAATTAAGATGTAAGACTTTACATATGTAAACATATTTTCAAAAAATTTTACATTACTTGCACACATTTATATAATTTACATCTGTAAAGTAGCTCAACACTGCAGGTAACCCAATGTACATGGGTTTATGGAGTGGACTGTTTTTGTACCAACAAAATTACTGGGTTTGTACCAACCCTGTTTTCTCTATAAACTGCCAGGTATGACCCAGGTTACATGATGGTGCAAAACACAGACTTGTCTGAACAAAAGAAAAATTAAGATGTTGTATTTACCATATTCCGTGTTGAGACCCCAGAGTTTTACTTTATTGGCTTCATACTGGGCTTTCTTTTTTAGTCTACAAGCCCTATAGTAAGAAGAGGGGAAGAATTAGAACACTAACAAAAATTCCAGAATACTAAGAGCATCTGTTTGTTTGCCATACGAACTTATCAACCAATCAATGCTCCCAGAGATCACCTATCTACTCACTTACCTTCGCTGAAAGCACCCTGCTACCTATATTTTCTTACATTTCACGCTTACGGATTTTATCACTATATCAATCATTTGCCCTGCAGCTAAGTAAGCCAGCTTCCAGTAGAAATACGTAATTATCTAGGGAACAGGCAAACTACATCTCCAAAGCGCCAGCTGCCCTGCTTTTTGATAAACTGGTCACCAGCCCATTGCAGAAGCAGGATTGATTCCTACACTGGTAGTGATGGAACGCTTTTGAAGCAAAAATTAGTTAGATCTTAATCATACAGTTGTAGTAATCCAAATTTACTCATCCATGTAGTGATATCTAATATATACCTGGAAGCTAGCTTGTTCTTTTCTTTTCTTGACCTCGGTCTGGCAGTTAAGGGAAGTTCACTGACTGGCGTCAGGTCACTGATCACCTTATTCAGCTTCCTCAGTTCATTACCAATCTGTAGGAGTTTTCTGGGGTTGGGAGTCAGGTCTTCTACATCAGTCCTCCGTGACTTCTTTGCTGCATATTTTCCTGTTTTAAATATGCAGAAAATTGGGTTGGGAAGTGACACAATATGTACACAAACCCGTGAAAAAACATTCTTAAATATGGGGGTTTTTGGGTGCAGTTTAAGTTCCTTTGTTCATTACAAGAGAATGGACTGGAATCATGTGCTCCCAACAGCCTTTCACAATAGAAAGAGCATTTCCAGACAAACTGCTTTGTACAATTCATATTATATCCAGATCAGATAAGAGCAAATACTGCTGGCCAGGCTACTGGATGTGATAGATAGTATACACGCAACTGTGCTGAAAAACGTATGTCACAAGTTCAGATGCAGTTGTTTTCCCCCAACTGTAACTTGCTAACTCATGTGTTCAGCCAGTATACCCTCTTGAACGCTCAAGTTGATTAAATTCCTAAATAATCTTATTGCTAAATTCTGCATAAAGAAAGAGGGTCAAGACCTGGTACTGAAATGATCTTCAGTGAAACTGAGCTTAAACAATCCACACAAAGGCTAGTCAACCTGTTTTACTTATTTGAAGCTATTTAAGGTCTGGTTTTCCTGAGGAAATACATATATTCAAGACAAAACCTTTATTCCTTAAGATTCTCTTGCCAGTGCTATATGTCTTTTTCTAGATTTCTACTTAAAATGACGGTTGTTACAGACATTTGCATGAAAATGTTAATAAAACTAAAAGAACCTGCTCCAGAAATGTTTATTACAGAGCTGATAATTTGGCATGATTTATTGGAGGTAGTAGAAGACCTTGGTACATGTCTGTATGTGAAAATAAAAAAAAATCCTGCATGTGTTACATTCTGTAGCTTCTGGATGTTAAGTAGTGTTTGATCCTACAAATCCCTTGCATACGCACCTGACTTAAACGTCACTTGCTCCTCCAGGTGTCTGGTGGGACAGAGTCCTCAAGGCATGTTTGGTTATATATTGTTTAATAACAAGTATAGATATAAGCCTTCATAAGAAGGAGCAGTGATAGGGAATTTAGACTGATATTTCACAAGATAAATAAGCATATAGAAACTAAGGAGATTAAGAAAACCATGTTTTCTTCCCTGAATAAATCTAGAAGTAAAAACAGCAACAAAACCTTTTGGTTTAACAGAAGGTAAACTGCCACATTAAAGATAGTAATTTTCAACTGTAAGGGAACATTAACATTACAACCAGGGAAGCTGGTTTCATTTTCTCCTTCAAAGCCAAAATCAAATGGAGCAGCCTACCAAAGAGGTTCTGTGACAACAAAACAAACATTACTCCTGAGAGTAATTTGTTCTGGGTGATGTTAGTCATACATGAGGTACAGCAAATTGTTCATCAAAAAGTTACAGGAATAAAACACAGTTATTAGACCAATTGGTTTAAGATTCTAAGAGGGTATTTTAAAGAAATAGTTTATTCACAGCAGAGTAACTGGTTCACTGTGCTGCATTCACATAGGTGGGAGAAACAAGCAGGGAGGAGCAGAAAGAGACAGTTATGCCTTATTGCTTGTCCTTTAGCTCATGCTGCAGTTAACGTGAACTTTGCATCTCAGATCACTCCCAGCTTGCTCTGACACAAGCAAGACTGAAACTAACAGCTACGAGGAGTAAATATCAGTCAAGGGACCCACCCAACATGTTTACAGTATCGCACTGAGAAAATTTCGAACTCTTGGGGTTTCCACTGAAAGCCCTTGGAAGTTACAATTCTCAATTCATCCACCTTCCTCTGGAAGAAACCACACTGAAAGTTACTACTGTATGTTCACTGTGCCTTCCTTGGACACTGTGCAGAACTCTGCTAATCGAGCAACAGACTTGCAGTGTTTTAATCATTTATTTTGATGGCCAAAACACAACTTCTCAGCACTTGCAAGTATGAGAGTTTGGCTACTGAAGGTGTCAGAACGAAAGACATTCACTTGTAACTAGGACTCTATTCTTACCATGATGAAGACCATTCTTCTGATACATGTTACTTGGTAATGTATCTCGATTCCACTCGGATGGCCTCAGCATTCTTTCTTGTTGTGATGGTGTTAGCTGCTCACTGTACTCCCAGAAATATCTTCGCTTGCCTCTTTTCCGAGAGGATATTGCAGTCATTTCTTTTAAATCCTCCACAGAATCATTTTCATACCCTAAAAGGATGCATTGCATTGTTTATATAATGTTGACAAAACCGTTTCTAGCCCTTTTAACAGTGGACTCAGTATTCAAGTTAAGAGCAAAACCACAGACAAGGCCTGTTTCACATTATCTAATAGGCTTGGGTTTTCAGCGTCAACTACTACTGAGCACTTGCCTTAAATCCAGGGATAGACACTGAGCCAGTGATGGTGGTTCATTACTTGAAAAGAGACAAATTATTTATGCACTGAAAGCCCCTTTATGTTCTCTGACCCCTTAAGTTCTATTGCTCTTCTCCCCCACAATCCCAGCACTGCAGAGTACAGACAACAGCTGTTGCAAAGTGTTCTTCCACCCCTACAATTTTCTCCATGAATCTGCAGGAACATAATCCTAACTTGCCTCCACATTTTAATTAATCTCTGATCAAAAAGCATGGAAAGAGAAGAAGATAATAAAGATAGATTAATGAAACGCTAATAAGAAAGCAAAATTATTCAAGCATAGAATATTCTGAGTTGGAAGGGACCCATTAGGATCATCAAGTCCAACTCCTGCTCTTCCTTGAGTTTGAATACCTCCGGGAAATAAATCAAACTACCCACCTCTATTAGACTAGAGGAGAAGGCCTCTGTTACCAGGACAATGACCTAAAGCCCGTAAGAAAAGACCATCTAAACTGAAGGGATCTGGACACAAGCTGTTCAATCTCTTCCTCGCCTCTTTAGTGGGATGAAGATAAAGGATCCACAGTAAAACTATACAATATTTTAGAGGTATGTTGTGATGCACTCAAGACAATGAACTGTTAGTGAAGTACATAGAAGCTGTAATGCCACTATCCACATTGCACAAATATTTATACTATAATCATGTAAACACAAACCACAGTTTTAAAAATCTTACTTATGCTTTAGAAAATAAAGACAACCTATACTAAGGTTAAAAGAACCCAAACCACTGCATCGCCTTTTGCAATGAAATGCTATATAATAGTTTACATTTACTTAAAAAAGAATGCATTTCAAAACATTGCATACACTGATGAAGCTTAAAGAAAAGCCAACCACTGAATGGACCGCAAGCTTAACAAGCCTTGACCCCATATGCTTGAGCTCTGCTTCACCTTTTAACAGTAGCACAAAGAACACCTTCTTCTTTTTAAAACAGTCCATTCAATTAGTCTGTTTGCACTTGAAAAACCAGTTGAAAGAGGAAAACCAAACTTTCTTCTTTGGTCTGACTCTCACCTCATAACCCAAAGTATGAATAAAAGTTAGGTGCGCAGAATGAGGAAATTAATTCTAAAGTTCTGCTTCTCATCATTTCATCAACTGTTTAGTTTGATTCTCTAGTTTATTAAAAAGACAGTATTTTAAAGGCAAATAAAACATGAAACATGCTTTATAAAACATTTCTCTTGTATAGCCAAAACGATTATGACAATTTACATTAAATATAGTTTCAAATACCATAAATATTTTTAACTGTACTTCATTTTACCCAAATGTTGTTTGACATAAGTATCAAAATACTCTTAAAAAATCCACTTAGTTTCCACTTGAAAAAACATGTCAAGCTATGTAACTCATTATATAGATACGTATAAATTTAGTCCATCTTCACGATAACACAGAATTAAGCAAACTGATGAAAACAAATCTCTTTAAGAGCTGATGTGTACAAATGTACAAGGTTAAAATCAAGACTTCCTGTTTGCTTATTTAAACTATAATTAAGTTAGCAACTTAAATTATGTTGACTTAATGCATCCTGTCTTGCAACTCTAACATTGACCTGCTATCATTTTAAAATTACCTAGAATAATCTAGTGCACAATGCCCTAACCTGGTCCATAACATACAGGAGTACAACAAATCTGTTTTGCTTTTCTGCACTGTGTTCGTCTTCCTTGAATTCTCCTCTTCGCAAAAATCATAGAGCAGTCTCACTTTCTTTGGTGGGCTTCTAAGAAAACTGAAAGGGTTCTTGTATTTACCTTTCAAGTCCTTTGCAAGTCCCTCCTAAAAATCTTTGTTCACATCCCTTACTATGGCTTTAGGTTTAAATTCACCAGGGTTGAATTAAGTAAAACGGAGAACAGGATAGGCATGACTTCTGCATCTTACCAGATTAAAAGCAAAAATAGCCCCACCAAAACAAAACCAGAAAACCCCTTCTCTCTACCATTTAATCATACTGAATTCTGTCAAACCATTTATGAGGCTTTTTCCCCCAGCTGATATTCCAGGTGCTTGGAATAGATGCAACTTCTTTAAACAATCTCCATGTCTCTACAGGGACTTCTCCCTTTCAGCTATTTCTTCTCCAGTGCTACTGAAAACTGAATCAGTTGTTGCATCTCCCATTTCTGGAATCTCTTGACTACTTCATGGAAGAAGTAGTCATTTACAAATACTTCTATTAAATGAGATAGGTAAAATATACTAGCAATGAAAACAAAAGTTTTAAGTGCTAGAAAAGGCCTGGGCCAATAATTCCCATAACAAATTACCTTTGCACGTGACCAAAATTGCTAAATCTGTATCATGGCAATAATAAAAACACTGCCGCCCAAACTTACCCAACAGCCAGTCACATTTTTAGTTATTTAGTTCCTAAAGTTCACTATAGCCAAGTATTTCGTCAGACAACATTAATGCTTTAAGAAAGCATTTAATGCACTCCAAAAACATACATGAGAAAGAATGAACAAAAGCAAACTGTGTATTAAATACATCAGAGGGTCAGCAATAACAAGTAAGTTTTCATCCTTTCAGTAAGTTACATCTTCACTCTAAATTTATCAACTGATTTTGGTTTCAGTACTATGGAAAATTAAATCTTCCTGGGCCATGCCTATTTTTAGAAACTTTATCCGTAGTATGTACCTTCACTCTAAAGGTAAAAAAGCAACACAAAATACAAGAGTGACATAATTAAAATACCTGGAGACATTACCTTCTAATATAATCAAAATATGGTGAAACTTTTAATATCACCATACTTGGGTGAATGGCTTCGTTCACCTGAAGTTCTAGCAAGCTTGTATAAGCCAAGATCCTCAGTTACTGTACTGCACAGCATAGTTGTATTTAGAAGGCGAGAGTGATTGCTTGTCAGTAAAATTTGAGCAAACAGCAAATAGTTGATGTAATTCCACCAACTGAAATCCCAGCACTTTAATACGACAACGCTTTTTCAGGGTTACCAGGCTTTCTGTGCAACATGCCTCCGTGGGCTGCAAATCACTGTGCAGTACAGCAATCATTACAGAGCTGTAATAGCTACTCAAACCCCCAGAAAGTAGAGGGAGTTCAATTCAAAAGAAGGGAGGAAGAGGCTTTAAAATGCTAATAAAAATGTGTTATGTACATGTAAAAGTAACATAAAGGGCATAATGCTTGACAAGTTTAATGCCAACTCAGGAAATCTACTTAGAAAATAATTTAATCTCAGAGTTCATTATGACAAACACTGACAAGCTTTAGGGAAGCTGATGTTTTTAAAAAGGCAAAATTTCAGCTGCTTTCCCCCCCCTCCAAAGTTACATATTGCCAAATGTCTGAATACCTTAGTTCTTATACTCTACTACAAAGCATTTCTAAAATGTGAATATTATAAATCTTTCTACAATGAAACTAATACTTGGTTACGGTCCTGTCCCTTTCCCTTCAGATTTTATTTTTACACAACATTACCGCTCTGTTACCTTCTAGGTGAAGGTTAGTTCTTATTTCTGTTGTTAAGGTTCCGTTTCTACATGCAGAAGAGAGGAATTCAGTATCCTTTGAAGACCCACTAAGTGTTACTGCTGAAAACCACCAAGAAACAGTTCTATTAGTTTCAGTGGCAGGTATTCTTTAGATTCTGTGGAAAACTGTACCTACAGTAGGACTTAAGTAATTATGAAATTATTTCACTCAGGCTATGATTTATATCAGCTACCAAGAGACACAACTATGGATGAATTCAAAAGCAGCAACCTACTGAAGCACTAGAAAGCTCTGTACATCCTATCATCAAGCCACAAAAAAAGAAGACAGCAATTGCAGGTACTTGCTCTATGACCTTAGGCTACAAGCTAGTTTTCCTATCTTCTCTATTATTATTTTTGTTGCGTGACCACAGTTTATGCAGTTTTTCTCAAAACAGGGCAATAGAGACCTTGTATAGTTTTCATTAATTACATTTTGCAAAGCACTTAGAAAATCTGGGATGAAATTTCATAATTTAAGATCAGTGTTGCTCATCTGTAACTATAGAGCATTCAAACCCATTCTTTCCCACTTGGCAGATAAATCCATTAACCTCCATGATAACAAAGCCCAACATTGCTGGTACCTGGTTCTGAGAAAGTATCGCTGATGTCATCATCTTTATCATCTTCATAATCTTCTTCCTCATCATCATTTTCAGAGAGCTCATGCTCACTGCCGAATCCTTCATCATGGTCCTCATCTTCAATATCATCCTCATCATCCTCATCTTCCTCAGGATCTCCTTTGGCTGACTGTTCAGCCAAACTGTCTGTTACAAAAAGAGAATAGTTGTGCTCTTCTTTCTTCTGCGAAGAATCTGACACTGATGTGCTGGCAGAAAGACTGCTCTCCCCCACAATAAGCCCTGGGGTTTCCTGGGGTGGACTGAGGAGCAGTTCTTGAGTCTCTTTAAAAGGCAAAATAGGAGGCGTACTGTGACTATGCAGGGATTCCATTCCTTTTCTTTCTTGTCTCTTTGCTACAGCACCACAATAGCAGGTGTTTTCCTTTGCTGCATCAGCATGTGTCTGGCTCAGCACTGGTCTGCTCTGTGGTAAAGGATTGATCTTTACTTTTGCCTTTTTAACATAGTCTTTACATTCAACATGAATGTTCACCTTTTCATTATTGTACACATTGGTCTTCACCATGATTTGTGTACTGGAAGCAGGCTGAGTTGCCGGTTTGCTCGCCTTCTGAACACAGTCCAACAAAGGTGCCTCAGCCTGAACGTTCTTAGAGGAACAGACTGGGGCTGCTGCTCTGGTTGCAATTTTTTTGCCAGGTAACAAAGAATTTAAAGGGTTTTGTTTTGCACTAAAGAGCAAATCAGGGTAATAGAGTGAATCAGATACAGGTTGGGAGTCCTCACTGTTAAGCTGAGCCAGTGTTGGTGTTTTGCTTATCACCTCTTCATCTTGGTATGGGCTTGAAAAGTCATCAAGGCCCAGGTAATCCACCTCTTTTGTTCCCCAGATGTCACAACTGGTTAATTTAGTGTACTTAGTTAAGTCTTCACAGTAGGTGTCCCACTGCTCCCACTTTGAGGTGAGAGCAGCTTCTTTGTCCAGGATGTCCGTAAAAGACTCCAAGTTCTCAAGGTCTTTGCAGTCCTCCATTGAAAGTAAGGTGTCTCTGGAGCTTTGCTGATAGTCCATTTCTCTGTCCTGTGCATAAGAAAAGTTAAAAATTAATACAAAAAAGTATCAATCATCTCTGTCCTCTACTTAATCTAGTATAGTGAGCTTAATTCCAATGAAGTGTAGGAGAGTGAGAACATATGAAGATACCTCAACTTCCAACTAAAAGCTTCTTTTGAGGGTCAGAATGAAGTCCAGCTTCCGTGCTTCAGCAGCAGATCCTTCTGAAGAGATTGCTAAAGATACAAGTCAAATGCCACTGGATTCTTTTTCTGCTATTGCAAGTTCATCTGGTCATCAGGAACTAGACTAGTACCAATATCCATGTATTTAAAATATTAAAGACATCAGCAGGAGAGAAAAAAAATGCTAGTATAAGTAGCTCATGAGTCAACTTTTGTTTTGCTTCCCCTGCATTCACAGCTTGGGTGAAGTAGCATATAGCTGCTCTGGCAGAAAAGATTGCACAGAAGAGTCTCAAGCACCATTACATAATGTCAACACAGCTCTATTTGAGACGTATATCAAGCCCCTCCTGATGGCCAGCTTTAACAAGCGTCTATTGAGGAAGCATCACATTTGCTGGACAAGCAGTTAGGCTCTTCCCTAATCAGTACGGAATGAATAATCTTCTAGCATTCTTGAACAAATACCCCTTTATTACTACACGAACTCAGGGTATTAATCAAGGAGAGGAAGTTACGTACACACACAGAAAGATGACTTACCAGTTCATACATGAAGTCTGGATCTGAACTGCTTGCCAAGAGATCTGTGCTCATCAGAGTCTGCTCTGAAAACACATGGCTCCGAAAGGCGTCCCCAAAAGGAGGGTCCATTCCACTCACACTGGGCTACAACAAATTGATACTGACATTTGAAGCATGCTATAAAAAGGCATATTTTTTTCCTTCAACAAAACATGAAGAGTATTGCCATTTCATCCAAGTCTCTGGGCTTCTACCTACACAGATAAGCATGTCATTTCCCAGAGCGAGAGAATGCTTTAAGAGCAGCTAACAACATGCAGCTCTTTAATCAAAGGACACATTTGTATTCATCATATAGCTGCAAGAGCATTGCTCATTCATTCTTTTTTGTTGGTTTGAAATTCTCATGTGTTTGCCAAGTTTAGGGATATGTCAGCATTTGTAGAAGAGGAGAGCGAGTACCGGCAAGATCTGTGAGCATCAATAGGCTCTACACGCTTGCAGGCCCTTCACCCTAATACAAACCATTTTGTACTAAAGCAGCATTGACTGTTTTTAGAGCCACTGGAACTCATAAAACTTCCACCTGAGACTGTAACAAAAGCAAAATTTATTACAACTAAATCAAGAGTGTTGTATCTCAGGAGAATGAAGTGGAACTTTGCAAAAAAAAACATTATGCAGGATGACTGGGCACGCAGGGAATGGGCAAGAAGGCTTTCTGCTACATTTAATTCCAGACCTCTGTTTCTCTTCTAGACACACTTGCCCTGAGGGTTGGGAAGGGAGAAACACTGTACTGCTGAAAGTCATTCAGTGTGCTGATGTGTGAATCACTGCAGCAATAAAAGGCTGCTCTCCAGGCATCCACCCTCATCAAGACGACAATTTTGCTGAATCTTGCTGTGTGAACAACTACAGTACCAAGAGCAGCAACATAGCTTCCACCATAGACACTACTGGGACCCCTAAAAATGTACACCGTTCAAGCTCTTATAAATTCTCCCTGCTAATGCCAGCCAAATTTGTTCTTAGACTTTTTTTTAAATAAGGAAACAAAATTATTTATGGAAGCAAGTAAAATCATAACAGATGTACCTGAGGCATTTCCAAGCCCAGATTCCCCAAATCCAATTCCAAACTTCTTTTTTTTTTCACTTGTAGATTCCTTTCCAGCTTTACTTCAGTCTCAGTTAGTTTACACAATCCATGCAATGAAATTTTTCCTTAGGATAACTTCAGTTCACCCTGATGGAGCTCTTCTGCTTGTAGACTTCTGTGTAGAATAAACACAGAAACCCCCCCAGGAGGTAAGTAATCCTTTACCAAAAAAGTAGTGCTTAAAAAACAGCCAAAGTGAAGTAAAGACAAAAATTTCCCCTGAAAAGTGATTATTTCTCATGCTGGAATGTATAGCAATTTTCTTCCCCTGCCATCTTTCATCAAACGAAAAGCCACAGATGCTACGGAACAGAGCTCCTGCAAAAACCTTTTTGGCTGAGTTACATTTTGTTGCCTTTTTTCCTCACTACCAAGACCACAAGCTCTATAGACATATGCAAAGAAAAGCCTGCCTAATTGCAAATAATGACTAGCATACTGCTGGGTGTACAAGAGAGAAACAATCTTTATGACTAATATAACAGAGCCAGTAAATTCTAAAAATGTCTCAGGCAAACGTCTCAAAATACTAATTTCAGAATAGGCAGCAATACTGTTTCAGTGATATCGCCTCTTTTCCTTAAGAGATTAATCCATCCAGCATCAGATAAGATTACATCAATCACTCATATAGCAACATCTAGTGGCAGAGGGATTACAGCAAGCATGCTCGCAGTCCAGCAGTAGAGGAAGGGAAGAGACAGACTTCCTCAACAGAACAAATTAAAAATTGTGCCAAATTCAGAGTTGCCTAATAAAGTATCTTCTTTATCAAGCAAGGTACATGTTGAAATTGGTCCAATTTATCTATTAGCAATTTTACCAGTTCAGTAGTTTCTATAGACCTGCTGCTACTTCAGATGTATGTCTAAAGACTTCCAGAGCCTCATATCCTGCTTAATCCTGAATTTTTTAACAACATAAGGAAAAACTGAACTGTAGAAAAGCAAGCACCTTAGCACAAACATCAATAACTATATCTACACTAAAAGTATGAGGAAGAACTTATAAGTAACAGGAAGTAAAGAAGAACAATGTTCTATCAAAAGCAATAATAAAAAAAATCATTCATGGTATCAAACCTTAGTATCTAATGTAAGGATACTTGTCTTCAAGGATGCTACTTTCTTACTGTCTTGCTTGCTTGCAAGATGCTTACTCTTATATAAAAAGTCTCTCTTAACAAAAAAGCAACATTAAAGGAGCATAATCAAAAAACTGAATCATCATACGTGTACAGTTTTTTTAGCATTACCAGTTAAAATATATTTGTTTCTTTGAGCAGAATTGTTCACTCATTGCTCCTAAGTCAGACTTTGGTACTATCTGCTCAGGCTATGCTTATGCTCTTGTCTTGAAAAACAAATAGTAAAGTAAAAGTGTTCTCCTACAGCAGAACTACCTCCCACCAGCACATGACAGCATCCCCGTGATTATTCCTACTTTCAGATAGTATCTCAGCTATTTTGTTATATTCAGCATATATACCATCAGACTATGGTAAAACCAGACACTATGCAAAAAAGCCTTTACTTATCAAAACATACTGCTTTTCAAATAGTGGCTAGAATATAAAGAACAATTACAAGCCCAGTTATACGCAAGTTCTCAGTAAAACCACGCTACCACTGCCAAAGCAAGCCATTCCCTGTAAGGCCCTGTGCCGAGTAAGAGCCAGTTCCTTCTGAGAAAATTTTCTTTCTGCTCTAAAACTTCCAGGGAACTCTTTTTACTTATCTTAAAGTGACATTTAAAGTTAAGTTTGTCACAGTGCAATGTGCCTCAACAAGCCCCGTCTCCTTTCACCCAGCAAAGGCCACACCGCAGCAGAACTGGTCCCGCCTATGCAGTTCAAGTGGCACCAACAACTAATTCCCTTTTCAACCTGGCCTGATCTAGGAGAAAGGGCCTGGTCTTTAAAACAAATAAACTATGTTCTCATACGCAAAGAAAGAGGCGAGAAGGATATCATCTTTTAATACCAACCTACACCTGAATACTATCTTACTTTCTTTCCATACAGAGGGGCAGAGATTGATGTCTTTTTCAACAGAAACATCAAATTAATACTTTGACGTCAACACCAGAACACCACCACCATCTGCATTCACGTGGGAGACTGTCAAAGTTCTGCCACTGCATGATATAAAGGGGAAAGAAAGGAGACGTTGCTGCTTCTTTACTGGTTATTCTTTGTTATGTTTTTGTTAGAACTCAAGCCATTCCACTGCCTTTCATACGCAACTAGGAAAGGGGTGTGTGTGTGTGTGTGTGTGAAACTTAATCTGTACCACCACTGATTTGAGTAACAACTGACCAAAAACCGATCAACACTTCCAAGTGTCAGGACCAGGGAGCTTTGGGATCATTTACAAATCCTCAAAACAGATATTAAACGTTCGAAATACATTTACCATCTGAAAGACCCGAGTAGTCTTTTAGCTATAAACTTACAACACCGTTTAAGAATGACAGTGTTATGTCCTGCTGGGTCAAAGCAGTATATCAGCTAATCTGATTGTTCCCCTAATTCTCTTTATATTTCATTCTTGACATTTTATAATATTAATATTTAAATGTGATTTGAATCCCACTAGGATCTATTCAAGTATTCTACAACATAAGATTTTTCGTGGTAGCTCTGCGGAGGGAGGAAACATGGTGAGGCCAAAGACACTGCCTCAGGGAGCTGCACGATCACGGCATGCTTTACGCTCCCAACAAAGCAGATCTACTTCCAACTGCTTTCTGAATTTCCCAGAATCATCAAGATCTTAATGAAAAGCCTCCCACTGTTCACACTTAACTACCAGTATTTTTTCATGAACTGGTAAATTAAGATGTATAGTAGAAGTCAACAACACATATGGAAGCACAGATGTAAAATCTGAACTCGCTGTGAAGGGGAGTAACTTCATAGACCACAGTTGAAATCCCATTTTTACAGAATTTATCGTTATTGGCACACTCAGCTCAAGACTGAGTTAGAAAAGTACAGTTGTTAAGTTATCTATAATGAATATAGATTTGGATGAACGGAAAGATATGTGGCAGAGCTCAAGAACAGCAGTGTAAGAATCACTTTAGATAAATACAGCAGGCATTTCTACTCCAGGACAATTTTCATTAGTGCCTTACATCAGCCCTTCCCAAATGCAGAGGTACAGAGGTGAAATCCTGTAGTTGCTTCACAGCAACTGAACTGCAGGTGGAATACACAGCCTGAGGCACTGGGCAGGGTGCCGCCACTCCTTTTGGCAGCAGCCTGCAGTTAAATCAGATTAAGGTGATTAAGGAACCAGTCCCTGAGTTGGTTCTGTGTCTGCAGATTCTTGAGTCACATCAGTGTGGAGCTGCGCCCCTGCTCCTAGGAGAAGGCTGGCTCCTTCACTTGGGTGTGAGGAAGGGCAAGACATCTCAGGAACGGCAATGTTCATCTAACATTTAAGAGTCTGGGGTACTGGTGGAGGCATACATATATGCATTGGTTAAAATCCCCATCAGTCATCAATAAGTACTCAAAACCTGTTCTACAGAGCTAATAATTCATTGGTCTAATGACAAATCTTAATAAAAATCCTCTGCATTTATATTTCCTTTTTGAAAACGCCTATTTAAAATAGTTTAATAGTGGCCCCAAGACACCCAGGAAGACTGAACTTCAAACAGTCTCATGGCAGGCTTCTTACATGACATTACTGATGCAGCAGGACACTTAAATTGGTGGACAGCAGGACCTAAACTCAAAACATGACAGATGAAGAAGAGGCAAGGCAGTTACCACACACGTGCCGCTTCCCTAGCCTAGTTAAAACACCCTTCTGCGACAATACATTGTCTCCAAAGAAGTCCCTAGAAGAGAAAAACCTAAACTGCCAGCTTCAGCTCGACAAGTCTGAAAGTCTTCCTCAGTCACCTGTATGAATCATTTGTACCATAGCTATAACTAAAGCTGCTATTTCTGTCTCAATTCAGATGTATTTTGTACAATTTGAAAAGCACACAGAGCGTCGCTATACCATTTTGTTGATTGTACAGAGCTTATTATCACAGCAGCTAAATGCCTGTTATAAATACATTACATGAACAATTACACTTTTCATGATGGTGACTGTGCATCATACAGCACAGTTTGTCAAAGTTACATTTTTGATGCAGATTAAAAAAATAGCACCTACAATATCAGGCTAAAACATTCAAAATGCCAAACTTTGAATTTCAGAGAACGTGCAAAAACTATGCCATGTATTTTAAAAGAACCATTATGTACTATGCAGAGTTTTCTGTATCTGGACATTTTATGAAATACTACAGTTAGAGATGCAAGAAGTTCTCCTACGCTTCTCTTAAAACTTTTTTTCCTTCCACAGTTTGTGCCAATTTGTTTCCTATTACAGAACACACTCTGCTCAGCGTGGTCTTCAAGCACAGAATAAATTTTTCTTAGTTTTGTTTCTGAGTGTAATGTTCTTGGTTTTTTTTTTTTTCCTTCTTTCTACATGATTCTTCAGTTATTAACCACAGTTAAAAAAAAATCTTTTACGTTTCTCCCCCACCACAAAGACACGAAATTTTCTTTTGTAGGTTTTTTTCTTTTCGTAGCAGGTGAGCAAAGACACTTGTAAAAGGTCTTCCTCTGCTTCCACCTGCTGTAGTCTCATTCACCTGCTCATCCAAAGAAGCCAAGTCCCTCTACCTTCTCCGTGATGTATTTGTATTAAAATGACAGCATAAGCATCTGAGACATTATGCCCTTTGCTTTCTCTGTCCTGGAGAGCAAACAACAGCTGTTTAAGCCAGCCAGATACTAAGTTTGATGGAGCACTGCCATGTGAAAGAACTAAAGATACGAAGACTGTTTCACTTCTTTTAAGCCTCTTCCCTTCAGGAGAGGGAAACTGCTACTTCACTTTCTTTGTTCCTTTTCCTTTGCTGACCTTCCCTCCCCCCCCCAATATTATTTTTCTAATCCTACTTGCCCACAGCAGACATACTTCAAGATCTGGAAGTGATACCACTGAACAGAAGCTCTGGCCTCCAATCACACACGCAATGTTAAACTTATTAGAACTATATTAACACACTTCGATTGATTAAAAAAACTTTTTATAGTTA